TGGTCCGTGCTCCTACGTTTTGCGCACCGGCGACCGTGCGGGTGAGCAGTGTGGGGGTCCCCACCCCACTCAGCGCTGCTTTGGCCGCCTGACGGACGCGTGGCGTCACCAGTTCCCGGAGGCCTCAGAGATCCCTCGTTGGGGTGACCTGTCCAGGGCGGGTGTTGCCATCTATGATCTTGACTTTGATGCTATTCTCTCTGCCATGTATGCTGTGTCTATTAGTGATGAGGGTGACTGTTACCGGTGTTTCCCGCCCGATCCGGGTATTGAGACTGCTGCTCTAGGTCCTGGTGAGGCTGCTGCCCTAGGTGCTTGCGACGCTGCTGCCCTAGGTGCTCGTGTGTCTGCGTCCTCAGGTACTGGTGAGTCTGCGCTCTCAGGTACTACGTCGGCTTCGGCCTCCCTCACCTTCACCCTTGACTCTGGGGCGTCTCGCTCCTTCTTTAGGGACCGCACCACACTCACACCGCTGAGTCGACCGGTTGCAGTGTCTCTGGCTGACCCCTCTGGGGGTCCTGTCCTGTCTCGCTTCTCCACAGTCTTCCCGTGTCCGGCGGCTCCCTCTGGCACCCTGTCTGGTCTCTACCTCCCCTCGTTCTCTACGAACCTGGTGAGTGGTGCTGACCTACAGGATGCGGGTGTACACCAGTTCACTCCTGCGCGTCAGCGGGTGACGCACTGTACAGAGGCTCGCACAGGCCGACACCTGGCTACGTTTACCCGTCAGCCGGGGTCGAGCCTGTACACACTGACCACTGCGTCTCCTCCCGTTACTGAGTCTGGTAGAGTCGCTTCGTCGGGTCAGGTGTTTGCTGCTGCGTCCAGGTCTGGTCCTGAGTCTGCCCCCTGTTCTTGTCGTCTCCTGTCTCACGAGACTCTTCTCTGGCACCACCGTCTTGGTCACCCCTCTCTGCTTCGGCTCAGAGGCATGGCCTCCCGTCTTCTAGTGTCTGGTCTCCCCCGGTCCCTCCCTCCCCTTCCTCAGGGCCCTGGCCCTACCTGTGTCCCCTGTGTCGAGGGGCGCCAGCGTGCTGCCCCTCACTCCTCCCAGTTTCCTCCGACAGAGGCCCCGTTGCAGACGCTCCACATGGACGTGTGGGGCCCAGCCCGCGTCCGTGGGCAGGGTCACGAGCGCTACTTCCTGCTCGTTGTTGACGACTACTCGCGTTACACCGCAGTCTTCCCCTTGCGCGGCAAGGGTGATGTCACTGAGGTGCTGATCGACTGGATCCGCGCAGCTCGTCTCCAGCTCAGGCAGAGCTTTGGCTCCGACTTTCCTGTTCTGCGTCTGCACTCGGACAGAGGCGGAGAGTTCTCCTCTGGCCTTCTGCGAGCCTACTGTCGTGCACGAGGCATCCGTCAGACCTTCACGCTCCCGGACTCTCCGCAGCAAAATGGGATTGCTGAGCGCCGCATTGGCATGGTCATGGACGTCGCTCGTACGTCTATGATGCATGCGGCTGCCCCCCATTTTCTGTGGCCGTTTGCGGTGAGGTACGCGGCACGTCAGATCAACCTTCACCCCAGGGTCTCCAGGCCGGAGACCTCCCCAGCCTTGCTGTGGACCGGGAAGGTGGGCGATGCGTCGGCGTTCCGGGTCTGGGGATCTCGGGCGTTTGTCCGCGACTTGTCTGCGGACAAACTGTCCCCTCGTGCTGCTCCTTGCGTCTTCCTGGGGTTCCCCCCAGACGCGCCTGGGTGGCAGTTCTACCACCCCACCTCTCGCCGTGTTCTGTCCTCTCAGGACGTCACGTTCGACGAGTCGGTACCCTACTACCGCCTCTTCCCCTACCGCACTCCGTCCCCCCCCCCGCCCCCGCTCTTCCTTGTACCAGGTCCCCCCCCGGTAGACCCCCTCCCCCCTCAGGGTCCTGCCCCTTCAGGTGTGTCCCAGGTAGACGCAGTCGAGCCTGTCGAGGTCACTGGTGACTCTGGTGCTGCTGGGGGTGCTGAGCCTGGGGGTGCTGGGCCTGGGGGTGCTGGGCCTGGGGGTGCTGAGCCTGGGGGTGCTGAGTCTGGGGGTGCTGAGTCTGGGGGTGCTGAGCCTGGGGGTGCTGAGCCTGGGGGTGCTGAGCCTGGGGGTGCTGAGCCTGGGGGTGCTGAGTGTGGGGGTGCTACGCCTGGGGGTGCTTTGCCTGGGGGTGCTGGACCTGGGAGTGCTGCGCCTGGAGGTCCTCCGCCTCGAGTTTCTACGCGTGCTTTGTCTCGCCGGGAGCCACTCTCTCCACAGGAGCTGCGCGAGTGGTTTGCCCGGCGCTGGAGCCGTGCTGCTGGTGCTGCAGGTTCGTCGGCTACTGAGGGTGCTGCTGTTGCGGGTCCCGGAGGTGCTCGTACTGGGAGTACTGGAGCTGCTGGGCCTGCGGGTTCGACTGGAGCTGGTGCTGCTGAGGGTGTTGGCGCTGAGACTACCACTGGCGGTCCTGCTGGGGGTGCTCCTGGTGTTGCTCGAGGTTCTGGAGCTACTGGAGGTGCTGCTGGAGCGGGTGCTCCTGCTGGGGGTACTGGTGCTGTCCCTGCTGTTTCTGGCGTAGCTACGCGGCCTCGACCGTACTTCGTTCCACTCCTGCAGCAGGTTCTTGGTCTTCCGCCCTCTCCTGGTCCTCCTCCTCTCTTGGAGGGTCCACAGCCTGTCCCGTCGCGGTCACTGCTACAGCCTACCTCCCCTTTGCCTGCTCCTTCTCCCTACACTGGTCCTACTGGAGGTCTTACTGAGCGTCGTGAGCCTGCGTCTCGCCCTGCGTCGCCTGTCCGTGCTGCTCGCGCTAGTGGTCGTGGTTCGCGTCAGCGTCCTCCTCCTGTCCCTGGCACGCACAGGATGTCTCTGCGTCCGTCTACTGCTCCTCTGCGTGCCCCTTTGCCTTCTCCTCCTGAGTCCTCTCTTCCTGCTCTTGCCGACCCGGAGTCGGACTCTCTTCGTGCTGCCAGTCCTACTGTCACGCGTCTCCTTGCTACTGTCGTCACTGACCCTTCCTTCGAGTCTACTGCTGCGTCTGCCCTAGTTACTGAGCTCGTCGACTTTGCTGCTCGCTGTCGCCTAGACTACGCTGCTAGTCTTGTCGCTCAGTCTGGGTCTGCCTGTCCTCCGTCAGTCGGGGGTGAGTGTGCCCTTGGCACGGACGTCCTTGAGGACAGGCAGGAGGAGTTCCAGTGTCTGGCAGCTACTTCACCTCATCTCGTGTCCGTACTGCTTACCCCTGAGGGAGACCCGGATGCACTTGACATCCCGACTCCGCGCTCTTACGCGGAGGCGATAGAGGGTCCCTACTCCTCTCAGTGGCAGGCAGCTATGGATGCAGAGATGGCTTCCTGGAAGTCCACAGGCACCTACGTTGACGCTGTCCCCCCTCTTGGGGCGAACATCGTCAGTGGCATGTGGATCTTCAGGGTGAAGCGGCCGCCGGGTTCTCCGCCTGTCTTCAAGGCACGTTACGTGGCTCGTGGCTTCAGTCAGCGACAGGGAGTTGACTACTTTCAGACCTTCTCCCCCACCCCGAAGATGACCACTCTTCGGGTGCTGCTACACGTTGCTGCTCACCGTGACTACGAGCTGCACTCTCTCGACTTCAGCACTGCTTTCTTGCAGGGCAGCCTGCACGAGGAGATCTGGCTGCGCCGCCCACTTGGCTTCACTGGGTCTTTCCCTCCTGGTACCCAGTGGAGTCTCCGGCGTCCAGTCTACGGTCTCCGCCAGGCGCCACGTGAGTGGCACGACACACTGAGGACTACGCTTGCGGCTCTTGGGTTTGCTCCTTCTACTGCCGACCCGTCGCTGTTTCTACGCACCGACACCTCTCTGCCGCCGTTCTACATCCTCGTGTACGTCGACGACTTGGTCTTTGCCACAGCTGACACTGCTGGACTCGCCCACGTGAAGTCCGAGCTGCAGAAGAGACACACGTGCACAGACCTGGGTGAACTGCGCAGCTACCTTGGCTTGCAGATCACCCGGGACAGAGCACGCCGCACCATTACCCTGACTCAGTCACACATGGTGCAGCAGGTCCTTCAGCGCTTCGGCTTCACGTACTCCTCGCCTCAGGCCACTCCTCTGCCTACTCGCCACTCACTCTCAGCTCTGCCTTCGGATGAGTCAGTAGAGTCGAGTGGCCCGTATCCAGAGCTTGTTGGCTGCCTCATGTACCTGATGACCTGCACACGACCTGACCTTGCATACCCTCTTAGCATTCTTGCATGCTATGTTGCTCCTGGGAGACACCGACCAGAGCACATGGCTGCAGCGAAGAGGGTGTTGCGATACTTGTGCAGTACGTCGGGCATGGGACTAGTGCTTGGAGGGCGGAGTCCAGTGGTCCTCACTGGGCACGCGGACGCTTCTTGGGCTGACGACCAGGCTACGCAGCGGTCGTCGCAGGGTTACACCTTCAGTCTTGGTTCCGGCTCTGTCTCGTGGCGAGCTACTCGCTCGTCCTCTGTTCTCGGCTCCAGTTGTGAGGCTGAGATCTACGCCGGGGCCATGGCTGCACAGGAGCTTCGCTGGCTCACCTACCTGCTGACTGACCTTGGAGAGCCGCCTCGTTCTCCTCCAGTGCTGTACGTAGACAACAAGGCCATGCTGGCCTTGTGTCGAGAGCAGCGCTTGGAGCACAGAACGAAGCACATTACTCTCCGTTACTTTCTTGCTCGTGAGCTGCAGCAGCGTGGTCAGTTGCGACTTGCGTACGTGGCCTCTCAGGCCAACACTGCTGATGTGTTCACCAAGGCACTTGCGCCTTGTGACCATCAGCGCTTCTGCACTCACCTGGGTCTTGTACCTGTCTTGCCTCACTTGCTCTCCTCTTGACCTTACTTGTACTGTCACATATATATACCTGCTCTTGCTTGTCTAGCTCTATATATATATGTGTACTCCTGCATGTGAACTGGCCTTGTGGCCTTGTCGTTGTGCTCGGACTGTGTGGTGACGTTGTGATCCACCCTGAGCTTGCTCTGCTTTGCTTGACTGGTCTTGTGACCCCTTGTTCTCCCCCACTTTGCCTATGGGGGTGTGTCAGAACATTATATAGCTTATGCTGTTGTGTAGGCTATAGTGGGGTATCCCATAGGGGGTACAACCCAATTAGGGTTTTCTATATGTACTCACCTCATTCATAGTTCATCCATCCTCGTTCTTCATTCTTCTCAACATGAGCAGATGAGGAGGTTCTTTTCTCGCCTCGCTCCCAGCACTCATTTTTTTCTGAGTACCCATAGTATATCTTGAGGTAAAAAGCTCTGAGTAGATCACCTGAGGTTTTAGTGGCAAGCTCTCTAGAAACTAAGTTAAGTTGAGGTGGAGGAGGTAAATGCGGAGGAGGAGGAGGGGGAGGAGGACGAGGAGGAGGAGGAGGAGGAGGAGGAGGAGGAGGAGGAGGAGGAGGAGGAGGAGGAGGAGGAGGAGGAGGAGGAGAGAGATGAAGATACTGACGATTTAGTTGAGGATGGGAGTGATGTGCGGGGAGTCGGAATGAAGGAAGAGGAAGGCTAGCACAAGTGTCTGTACATCCTGACCGACTGCTCCCATGACACATGGGGACATGATTACTAGTATTACAAGTATTATTACTACGATTACCAGTACTATGATTACTTTTAGTATGATTACCAGTACTACGATTACTTACTAATACTACGATTACTTACTAATACTATGATTACTAGTACCGTACTATGATTACTAGAACTACGATTACTAGAACTATGATTACTAGTACTATGATCTCTAGTACAAAGGGTATGAGGCCATGCTGACCTAGCTGGGCAGCATGAAAATCTCATTTGCAGGGCACAACACCTTGAGGTAGGGATGAGCAAGGGGCGAACACGAACGTGTTCGTGTTCGCCCCTACACGAACACAGCCGTTCGCCGAACCGAACAGTGTTCGGTTCGCCGAACACCTTTACCAAAAAAAGGCGTTCAATGTTCGCCTGTGAGGGCGTGTTCGGGCGAACCTCGAACACGTTCGTGTTCGTCGCGGGGCAAATTGCAGCAGCGGGGCGAACACGAACATGTTCGGGCGAACCTCGAACACGTTTGTCACGAACACTTTAAGGTTAAAAAAAAACCTGTTCGGTTCTTTGCTCATCCCTACCTTGAGGGTCATATGACGAGGAATCGTTGGGCTCACTGGAGCATTATTGGGGTTTGCGAATGCCTTCTTTAAGGGTGGGACTGGAATCCATGAAGAGTTCCCTGACTAGGGGGATGGTTAGGTTTGCTCGGTCACATGGCCAAGACACCTGTGGACTTTATGCTGCAGAGAGCAGGTCAGCAGGAGCTACATACATGCCAGCCTGCTTCAACGGAGACTACTTGCAGCAAGCACTGGTGGATCGTTTCATCAAAACTGTCCCAGCCTTCAGCATCGTTGATACCTGCACTGCATTTTCTTTAAACTTTTCATTATGACTAACTTTGTGTTGATTACTAAGTATGACTAGTTACTATGATTACTTACTAAAACTAGTCATACTTAGCGATCAGCATCATGTTTTTCCATTACTATGTCAACTTCCAACATACATCATGGAAAAACATGATGCTGATTACTAAGTATGACTAGTTTTCCATTACTATGTCAACTTCCAACATGCAATTTCGCCGCTGACAATCGCAGCTAACCCAGAGCATGTCCTTCGAACCGCACCGCGCTGTTGAGGGAGAGAAGTAGGACGGACATTCTGCACGAGTTTGCATCCTTCATCGGCTACTTGTCAAAGAGGACGACAATTTCAAAGCGGAGCAGCTGAGTGTATACCCTAGAGAATGTGGCGAGGCTGCACCAGGACAACGGGGCGTTGCAGTGGGACTCCACATACCTGAGTGTTCAGTTCAGTGCGTCCTTCGTCTGCATGATTCTCGACTTGGTCACGTGACTCATCCTGAAAGACAAGTTTTGCGCCAAACCACTCCTCCCTTGGTACGCTTCTTTGCAACGTGTCGCAATCCACGCGTGTCCTTCCTTTCATCGCTTTACCCACCAGTGATTGCGGTGGACCCAAGAACTCTACTATGTTAGCATTACTTCCGTGCCACATCTCAGGTCAGGCGAGGCATCAATTGGTCCAACAAGACCCACTTGCGGAGTCTATGCATCATCGCAGAGCGCAGAAATGCGTAGGAGGAGCTCGCAGCTTCCTTGCAGCCATTCCACGCTGTCAGGCTGAGGGATCATCTTATTGCACGATTGGGGATGTGGTCCCTCAGCTTAACGAGCTCATGGTGACCAGATTGAGAGCTCAAGCACAGTAAGCCCCCCCTTCCGCTCCCCCCCTCCTCCCCCCTCCTTTCCAAGTTCATGGAAAAGTCCATCGAGGCTGCCAAATCAAAGCTGCTAGATGGGAACTACACCAGGAACAATGACCTGGTGGCCACTTTCCTGGACCCGAGCTTCAAGGTTGGGGTATTTCCAGCCTGGGAGAGAGGGGAGGGGCAGGGCAAGGACGTGCTATGCCGCACGTGGTGGCAAGGCATGTCCTTGAGCTGGTTTGTATTAGGTGGCGTTCATACAAGAAGGGGGATGTACGGGAGCGCGAGGGAGAGAAGAGGGTGCTTTGGAGGAGGGAATTTGTTAGAAATAGGATGTCAACACTTTGTGTACTCTATTTTATATGGTTTAGGTTATTTGCGGGTTGGGTGTAGATTTGTAATCCCAACCCTATCTGGTTGGGATTCCCTCGTAATCCTGCAAATCTGCCAACTCACCAATTGGAGATTTGCTAGGATTCCCATCCCATCCTTTCCCTAGCTTTGCTCAACCAACCTTGTTTGTACTTAAGGCCTAGTGCCTTCTTGATCAATCAATCAGTTCAGCTCCAATTCTATCATGGTATCGAGGTAGTAAACTCCGCTCACGCGGAATCCAATCTTTGGCGTCGCGATGGTTCTCCTCTTCTAGGCTATGCCTATTTCGGCTCCCGGCTCCTACGCTTAGCGTTTTTCAACTTCACTTCGTCGCTCCGGACAATCGCGCATTCGGCTTCCTTCATCGCGCATCTCGGTTTTCAACGGCGACATTTTCCGCCTTCAAATTCCTTCATCGTAAGCTTCTTGTTTTCTAATCTTTGTGGCAAATTTCGCAATTTCTTAAACTTCGAACATGTTTTCATCGGCGCAGCAGAACAGGTTCTCATCGGCGCAGCGGAACAGGTCCAGCGGCGCAGCAGAACAGGTTCAGCGGCGCAGCAGAACAGGTTCAGTGGCGCAGAGAACAGGTTCAGCGGCGCAGCAGAATAGGTTCAGCGGCGCAGCAGAACAGGTTCAGCGGCGCAGCAGAACAGGTTCAGCGGCGCAGCAGAACAGGTCAGCGGCGCAGCAGAACAGGTCAGCGGCGCAGCAGAGAAGCGGAAAAGGGGCAGCGGCGAAGCAGAACAGGGGGCATCGGCGAAGTAGTATAGCAGATCAGAATACGGGGTTTCTATTGCCAAAATCGCGTTTCGGACTTCCTTAAAATCCAAAATCGCCCGAACTCCACTCCGATACGTATCGGAGACTTTAGCGCTACGCTTCGCGCGAAATGGCGACTTCTACTTCCACCCTCGTCGGAAGCCTCATCATCCTTAACCTTGCTCCCAACGGCACGAGCACCAACTTCGGGGAGTGGTGCTACGGAGTGGAAAAGCACCTCCTTAGCACTGAGCTTAAGGGGATTTGCCACAAGGACATCCTCCTCAACCGTGGCAAGGGCAAGATGCCTCTCCCTCCTGATCCTCTTGGTGAAGGAGCAACTGCCGCAGCTAAGACCGCATTTGAGGCCGAGACCACCCAGTATGAGATCGACTTCAGTGTGTGGGAGCAGGCGGATGCAGCAGTGATTAAGGTCTTCATCACCACCACTCCGGTTGAGCTTGTCAAATCTTACCGCACCTTTCGCTCCGCGCATGACATATGGAAATACCTCCAGGACCACTTTCAGGACAAAACTGCAGTGGGGGTAGCAATCCTCATTCCTAGCATGTTCCAAATCCATCTTGAGGAATGCCCGGGCATGGCGGACTACGTTTCTGAAATCCGCAACATCCATGAGGAGCTCAAGGAAATTGGGATCATCTTCCTCGAACAGGCACCTGCAGCTGGGCTTCTCGTAGGACTTACTCCGGCATACAACGTTACCAGTTCCATGCTCAAACAGCTCCCCACCAAGGACCTCACTTTCGAGAAAGTCGCATCGGCCCTTCTCTCCGCTGAAAAGGACCTTGCCGCCCAAGCATCCGTCAATGCTGTGCGCTACTCCCCTGGTATCCCATTTCGCTCTCAGCAGGGCCAGAGGCGCAACTCCTTTCCCCCATGCCCCTACCTCATTAGGAAGGGTCCACGTGCGGGGCAGAAATGCAACGGCACCAACCACCCTGAGGCCACTTGCTTCAAGAAGCGAGATGACGAGTGGTATGATGTCCATGGTGTCTCCAAGGACAAGCGCCCTCCCAACTGGGCACCACCCCGTCGCGTGAACCAGGTCGAGGCAGTGGAGGAACCTGCCCAGCCATTTGCTAGCGCCCCATCTGATGTTCGCCTTAATCTGTTGTTCTCTGGTGCTGGCATTATTAATGAGAAGGAGTTGCAGTACATCGGTGTTTCAACTACACAGGGGATCGAGTTCGTACTAGACAGTGGTGCCACCCACAGAGTGCTCAAAGACCAAACCGCATTCATTCCCTACCAGGCTCCCACCCCTCTCCTTGGAGCCGATTCTAGCTTCTCCATCCAATGCCATGGGTCCTCCACAGTTCCCTGTCCAGCGTTCCCATCCGGCACAGTCACTGGCATCTGTGCCCCAACCCTCCGCTATAACCTCATTGCACAGCGTGAAATCCAACATGCAGGAGTGATCACCATCTTTCCCAATGATGTCGACTACTCTGACATGTTTGACGCCAAAACCGACATTCATCTAGCCCGTTTCACCCTCAACTCCAACAACCTCTACACACTCGTTGTACCTCCCATTCAAACGTGCTCGCTCACCCACCTTCCGCTCCCTTCCTCAGACTCCTCCACCTTTCACTGCCGTCTCCTTTTATGACAAAACCATGCTCTTCCATCACCGCCTCGGCCACATCAACTTCCGCGCGCTTTCAGACCTTGCCACAAAACAGCTCCTCCACGGCCTTCCAGCCTCACTTCCCTCTCCTACCTCCAACCTAGGGCCGCCTTGCCTTGACTGTGCACAGAGCAAGCTTCGTGAACAGCCCCATCCTCCCACCGAGTCCATCTCCACCGCACCTCTCGATCACGTGCACATGGACCTTTGGGGTCCAGCTCCTGTTCGTTCCCGTGGCGGACACTTATACTTCCTTGTCATCATTGATGACTACTCCCGCTATGTGTCCGTCCACCTTCTCACCGCCAAATCTGAGGCCCCAACCATCATCATGGAATGGGCCCGGCAGGCTCATTCCCACTTCAAATCCAAAATCAAGTTTCTTGACTCTGACGGTGGCGGTGAATTCCGCAACAACACTCTCAAAGATTTCTGCTCTACTTAGGGT